GCCCTGTGCCCGCAGGAAGAAGAAGAAGGCGAAGGACAAGGCCCAGGTCCTGGAGCAGATCGTGAGCAGCAAGAAGCAGGAGGAGGAGAAGAAGCGCGGCCTGGACAAGCGGACTCCGGCGCAGGTGGCCTACGAGAAGATGCAGGAGAAGCGGGTAGGGCTTTAAAAACCCCGGTCGACCCCTAAGATGCGGCCCCTGAGGGGATCCGAGTGCTGGGAGTAACCGGCCTCTCTTCTGTCTTCCTCCAGCAAATGGAGAGGATCCTGAAGAAAGCGTCTAAAACCCACAAGCAGAGAGTGGAGGTAAGCAAAACCATTCCGATTTACTGAGGGCAGCGCGTGTTGATCAGCATGCAGCCCTGTTGGGCTGGAGGAGCTGTTTCACCTCTGTGAAACACAGAGGCGGGGAGGCAGAGGGCCTTGTGGTTCAACGCTGGTGATGTCCGCACCAAATATTAAACGTTTTCTGTCTCTTTTTCTCCCCTAGGACTTCAACAGGCACCTGGATACTCTGACTGAGCATTACGACATTCCTAAAGTCAGCTGGACTAAGTGAACGGACTGCTTTTCAAGGCTTTGGATCAGGAGTTGTGTTTTGTTTGTATTAAACAGGGTTGCCATGTAAATCTGTGTATTGTCCATATTGAATGTTTAATATATCTTCTGGACGTTTATGGCTTCGTACTGTCTTATTTCATTATTTTGGTTTTTTAAAATCAGATGTTCAACAAAGTCTCTTCTTGGCTGATGAGCTCTGATTTATGTAGGTGCAGAGGGCTTTTTTTGTTTTAGTGCTTAAAGTGAGGTTAAGGCCAAAATCAATTGCTGTGAGCCAGCTGGAAAACGTTCCTTTATTTGTTTGATACTAACAGTTCTCCTTTTGGAAGTGAAGAGTCTGACAGTCTCACATAGCATAAGCTTCTCTTGAAAGTTATAGGAATAATTTATTTCTATCTAGAGTTCTTTCAGAGGTTAGGGGGTCTGCTGTAACTTGTATCTTCGATGTAATTTCTTATTAAAAAGCTGCTTTCGTCCTTTTTTTGGTGCCGACTTACCTATAAAATCAGGGGCAGTGCACTGAGAAAGCAGTTTGTGCATGGAGTTTTTAAGGTGCCTTGCCTGCCTTTACAATGCTTGCGCCTTTTGCAAGATGACGTGTATCTTGATGTTTAAAATCCTAACATGCCTCTTAATTCGAATATTGTTCTTAAACCCGAATATCATCCCTCTGCTGTCGCTGGGCTGTGGGTGCTCAGCGCCTGGGCTCCCACCTCAGCCTGGCCAAACCTTCCCCGTGGGCTGCTGCCCCTCGGCGCCGTTAGCGCCCAGCCCGGCTCCTGGTGCTGTTTTCAGCGGGGGAAAAAGATCCCGGGACTATTTAATATTCGTCCTGGGTGAGTCACGGTGTTCTTCCGCGGCCGTGGCGGAGTGCTGCGCGTATCCCTCCCCGCAGGAGCAGCCGGGTCTCGCCTCGTGTCGTCACTTCCTGCCGGAAGTGCTGTGCGGGAAGCGGAAGTCGGTGTGCCTGCGGCCG